AACCTAGCAGTAGCCTTGTCTCTGCGTTAGCTGTAAATGTATATTTGTAGTTTGGAGTTATATTTGAAACGTTCACCTTTCCAATAATCTAGATTTTGTCTGTAATGTTAATTATTACAGACAAGGAAATGAGCCTGATGCCTTACACTTGGTGTGTCTAGCATCCAATGCATTTGCTAGAAGAGCATAACGTTTTGAATGAAATTCATATTTCAGTACCACTTGTTCCTTATCGTGGAAATCGATTCAATATCTTATTTGCAAAAACAAATGATTAGCTTTTTGGAAAAAAATACTAGAAAATACGAAAATCATTCTAGGTTACCAGTTACTTGCACTGACAAAATTGGTGGAGAAGGAGATTAAAGATCAGCTACCAGGAGGCGAGTTTGAGCATCCTACTCCAAGATTACGTTCAAAGTTGGATAGTATGGGGAAACAACACGTTTGCTGAATGGTTATTTGGGTACATGGACCAGCTACTGAGATTCAAATCATATGTTCAGGTACTAGCAACAGAAGCTTACACCATGTTTTCCATCGATAAAACCAAGCATTGGCTGGCTTTCAAGGATCGAGAAACAGCTAAAAAGTTGGTTAATAATGCAAGAAGTGTTAAAGATTTAAAAGAATTGTACAAGATGGGGTTTCCCACCCAAAGTATCAGGAACTGGCAACATACTTCTCAAGATGTTAACTGTGACCATTGTCCGATTCGCACGGTTTCGCGTGATCGTATTAGGAAAAGCTGCAGTTAAATTGAGTAATTTGATTGGGAGCGCCAAGAAGCTGGCGCCACAATTCAGCGTTGCTGTATCATAAATTTGAAGGTCGGGGAGCACATCACAGATTAAAACAATGGCGATGTGTAGGCTTTGTGCTGATTCACACAGAGTCAAGAACAGTAGGTCTATATTTATTGACTTGAAATTATTGGAATAATTTATTCCAACATTGAAAATTGTGGTTCCAACAAACACATCATTTCCCTCAGATACAACACTAAGCGCTTTCTTTTTAGTTTTTTTTTGTATATTCTACCATTTTAATTTTACCTGGATTTTACCAAGTAATCTGTTGTTACTATCGTGAGTTCTGATATTGAGATGCAAATGAGCCGAAGTGAATCTTATGATCGTTTGAGGGCGTGCGACGTACAGTAAGTCGTGGTGAAATCTGCCAAGGGTTAAGTTGAGGCTTCAGCCGAATAAATGGTCTTTAGCTGGCGAAGATGTCTGTGGCAGGCAGCAGTGGGAAGTGACCCATTTGTGTTACACACCATGTGACAAGTTAATTCATTCAGTAAGGTTTTATTTGCAGGTGTCAAATACTGCACCATCTCTGGCCAAAATAATGACACTTAATTAGACAAACTGGCATTACAATCCAACAGTTCAATTTAGTTACCGAGAAATGACCCTGTGACACAGCTGAATTGTTGCCTTCGAAGATGTGTAGATTGCATCATAGCATGCTATGTTTAATTTTGAAATTACTACGTTACCAATATGCTCGAAAACCATTTCAATGATGGCTACAATTGTAGCATTTAAGTTCATTTGAATTATGTTTTTAACAAAGCATAACTATTTGTGATTGTTTAACACGGAAGTTTTCACCTCATCCGTAATATCGAATATAAACTTAAACGGTTGAGATCTTTGAGAGGACACATTCACTATAATTACGATTGCACATAGCTGGACAAGGTAGATGTACTGTTCATTACTGCGCTTTATAAATTCCCATCATCAGAATTAGGGGTTCTATGAAGTCATAACGTAGATTATCACACGATATTACATAACTTTATTAGAACGTGAATTCATTTCAACAAAAATCACCCAAATATGACAGCGCCATATTAGATTCAAAGAGAGGTCTAAAAGCGATAGAGTGCGCGGCTTCGCATCACATATTTATTCTCTTGCATTACATCCTCGGCATGCAAAATGGCACTATTAGTCGATTTGTTATTGTTGAAAAGCAGGGCAAGATCGAGAGGATAGGCTCACTAATGGGTGAGAAGTGGTCGAACTTATTATTCAAGCAAAAATCCAGTCTGAGCCCAGTTATCAGGCAATAA